TCTCCCTGGTTCTTGGCGGCTTCTGGATGGCTTGCCTGTTGTTCTTGGAGCGGTACTTGGCACTGGCAGCGTCGATTGCTGCTTTCGAATGTTACTCACTGCATGTGTTGGGCCTGACTGTTTGAACACTGGGCCCGGTGGCAAAGACGCCACAGTGTTCAAACAGTTTGACTGTTTCTTGGCGGTCTTTCGAGTTTTTTTTTTTTTTTTTACAGTTGGTCTTTTTTTTTTTTTTTTCACAGTTCTACCATTATCGGACTTATGTCTGCCATCCTTGCACCTGGGCCTATACGGACACTGGGTACCGGTCTTTTTTGGGGGCTCGTCTTCAGAAGTTGATACCCAGTATCCGTAGTATAACGCACGTGCGTTATAAACGAATACAAAGCACTTTGTGCGTTGTATTCGTTATTAACGCACGTGCATTTTGTTAGGGGGAAAACTGTAGCATCAAGCTTTAATAACCCATCAATGGCAATCTGTGCCTGTTGAGGGTTGTGCCATCGTGCTTCCACTAAATCCATAAAGCTTTCTAGGGTGTGGGTCTGCGCCCAATCACCCATGTTCCTGTCGAACCCCTTTGAAGCTACCAATCCATTTAGCCAGCGAGTTGCTGAACCCTCTAAGTAGGATGCAGCAGTTGTCACTTCCTCTTCTAACAATGTCCTCTTTGCCCTCACCCACACTGGAACCGTTCTCAACCACGTGTCGAGAGCCTCATCCTTCTTGTCTCCTGAGAAGGTTGGAGGTGGTTTGAGGAGGGTCTTGGGATACCAAGGAAATTGTTGTCCCGTTGGCGGGACAGGTGGCGACTGTGATGTAGCACCAGTCGCTGGACCGGAAGATAAAGAAGCAACAGTCTGAGATAGGGCTGCTACTAATGTACCACTTGGTGGTGGTCCGGACTGATAGGCATAAGGGTCTGTCGTCGCTGAGAATGGCAGCGATGGCAAGACTGTTGGCCTGATTCCTGGACTGTGCATGGAGTTCAGGATCTGGTCCAAGGTGTCCTGGATGGTATCCAGTTTACTGTCCATGTATGCGTGCATGGACAGGATGCTCGCCTTAAGAATTTTTTCATTATTGCTAAGGGTCGAGTCATCTAACCCCTCTAGTGCTGCCTTGTCTACCTCCCTACCCTCTAGTCTGACACTCCTGTCTCTAATCTCTTTCTCCCATTTAGTAGCCTGCCTAAGTTCCTCCTCTAGCCTCAGCGAATCCTCTCTACTTGTTGGAGCTCCATCTGCTCCCGGGTGCGTGGAGGCGGCGAGCTGAACTGCGAACCCGCCATCCGACTAGTGCCAGCTCTTGACGTAACGGAGATGGACTGTGAACTGGTCGCGTTGGTTGGCATACCCAAACCCTGACCAGTAGAGTTTGCAGCAGAGGTGAAGAGGTAGCCATTGCTACCGCGCTAACTGCTGCTGTTGTGGGCCCTCGCCTCGGCCCTGAGCCTTCTCTCGTCTCCTGGTAGTAGAACCTGGAACACAACGGATATCCTACCGGTATCTCCTATCGTCAAATCTTTACTCCCCACCCTCTGATCCGCTCATGGGCTAAGCAGACGCTGTCTGCACTAATGTCCTCTCTGGGACCTACTGCCGCATACGTCTGACCGGTTCTAAAAAAATAAATAAAATGATAGATGTCCGGCGAGTTACCTAGATTACTAGTCAAGCGGTATCAACAGCACCTACACAAACTGTACACATGTAGTCTACCTCTATCTTTGATTAGATCTGCACAAAAGCTTTAAGAAGAACTGACTATGGTAGATTACAGTCCTACTCTAGGCTGTTTGTTAGGTGTTAGCAGTCTGTCAACCAACTAACCAAGATAAAAAATAAACTACAGTGAGCAGATGTATGCACAATGGATAATATAGTGATGTACAATCGAGTTCACATTTGGAACCCCCTTCCCCTGTATCCAACGAACTTGTGAGCATCATCAAGCTGTGGTGTCTAAGGTGTGCAACCACGGCCCACCCCTGTGCCCTAGAAGTATGCTTATGACCAGCCTGCCCTTTATTTACCCTCGCGTGCAATGAGCCTTACGTCTGACTGATCTGGCTGATCAAGAGGCAATTTAAGGACAGCCCCCAAAAGCCCTAAGGAATTTTTTAACGTCGCAATCAGGACGACGATCACAGCCAATGGACAGTTCAAACCCCAACCAGAAATATTTATAGACGGTCTGGGAGCGCCTCCGTAGGACTGGTCAGTCCGCACACCCCTTCTATCAGCGCAGCAAAGAGCCTCAATGGACAAAACAACATGGCCTGCGTGTACTATTCCCATGGGTTGGCATGGTGACCGTGACCCGTGCTTCGACCATGGCCCTTCAGAGGCACCGCCCTCTCCTGCCAGATGCGCCACCGGGAAGAATGTCGTCTCTCAAGGTAGAGCGCACTCGACTCCTCACCAAAGAGAGGACACTCAAGTTGGACTCACTTCCTCACGGTAAGAAGAGATTGAGAGGGTCGATAAGGAATGGGAACAACGTACCTGGAGATAGCTGTCCCCAACCACAGATTTCTCACCAATTGGGCCGACGTGCATTTCGATGACTGGTCAATAGCCTCAGTACCACCCACAACGCAATGCAGTGCCACCTCAGCCAAAATGCCACGTCAGCATACTCTCATCATCATACACACATCCGCTGTCGCCACAACTCCCACGCTGTTGCCACATCCTTCCAGCGGCCGGCCTCTACACCTAGGCCCCACTAATCAACCAGCGCCAAAGTATCCTTACTGCACATGAAGCATCGTCAGCGCACCAAGTAACAATGTCGCCGGTGCCAGGTAAGCGGCGATCACGAACCAGCTCTGATACCAAATTGCAAGGAATATGAGTGTCAACGATATACAGAAAACCAAGTTGCGAAATCACACAGATGTCCAGGTAGTCATATCCAAGCAGAGAGTACAAAATGCACCGAGAAACCATCCATATAGAGCAATACAATGAAGTAATGAGCCAATGTCCAAGCCCGTAGGCCACACCAACACAGAATTCAAAGTCGCTCCTCTCTGTCTGGCGCCCAGCGCCCAACCTACTCTGCCCGACTATCCTACCTACAGCTGGTTCACGCAACAGGCTCACTTCGACTCTCGAAGACCAATGTACATGACTGTCAACTCGATAGTCGACCTCTCTTCATGCACGAGGTACGTATCTCGTCACCCTCTCCTTGACCTTGATTACACCTGTCTCTTATACACATCTAGATGTGTATAAGAGACAGGTTATACTGCGTCCCAATTTGTTACGATTGCTTATCAGCTTGACGCTGTTGAAAATACGTCGTTGTATGATCATAACAGTCCACCTCCTGAAGGCAGTAACTATACTACCTCAGGAGGCTTTACTGTGAATGTCTTACAGTTAGCATTCCACGGCCGCCACCTTCTTGTCCATCATGCAACGCCAGGCGATGACCTCAATAACCATCCTCATATTGCTGCCTGTATTTTACACAGACCCGGGCATTATATGGCACTCATTCGTGCAGCTGCCCAGTGGGACCTGTGGGATGGTGGGACGATGAGTCAGGTCATTTTCGACGTGAATGAATTTTTGCGTGCATTGTCGAATCATACTTTATTCTGGATTATTGACCGACTCTCATGTGACACCTGTCGGGACAGAGATGCGGTGCGCCTTGGCTGTGGAATGCATCATCTATGCCATAGCCATTATCAATCTATTGCCACTGCCGCCGTCTGTACTGAAGGGTGTCCAACATTTCCTCGTTGTACACATCCCTGTAACCCAGATATACGTTGTCCCTTTTGTGCCCAAGGACGCTATCAGAACTGTATGATGTCGCACTGTGATGAACGTCCTGCTGTTTTTTTTACATGTGGACAACATGTCCTCTGTCAGGACTGTTTTGATGGGATGGTTCGTGCTAGCCGTCCTGCTGAATGCTGTGCTGGCGCAGCTCTCCTTGGGTATCCTCGTGAACATCCACATCATCCTCACCGTAGCTGTCCTATCTGCCGAGGTGGGGACAGGTAAAGAAAAAAAGAAAAAAAGAAAAAAAGAGGAAAAAAGAAAATAAGAAAATAAGAAAGAAAGAAAAAGAAAAATATATAAATGGGGGCCAGCAGTCCGGTTGCTTGCCACCGGCAAGTCTTACCAGGCGATAATGACAGGGCGTTCTATTCGGGTCTTCAGTTCCCACAGCGCAGAAGAGAAAACAGTGCAGATTGAGGAGTTGCCTTTTACCCTTGTGGCACTGAACACCCGAATAGAACGCCCTGTCATTATTGCCCTACCTAGACGGAAAGTTGCCCCAAATACAGCTATAAAAAAAACGACCGGGCGTTGTATTCGGGTGAAGACAGTGGGAGGCTGTCACTGGCCAACCCTCTGCCCCATCCAGAGCCCTTCTTCGGGGGCTCCCCTGCGGATCAGGGGAGGCTTAATGGCAGCACCCAGGCACGCAGCAGGGGAGTCCCAAGAAGGGAAGGGTGCAGGGTGTGTTGGGGGGAAGGGTGCAGGGTGTGTTGGGGGGAAGGGTGCAGGGTGTGTTGGGGGGAAGGGTGGGGGGGGGTGCAACAGTCTCACAGGCCCTATGCATCGCCTCATGTTAACGTGTTTATACCTTTGCAATCTTATCTTTAATCTTCTTTTGTTTTCAATCTCATCTTTCATCTTTAATCTTTTTTTTTAAACATAATCTCATCTTTAACCTTTTGTCTTCATCGCCAATCTTATTTTCAATCTTATCTTCAACCTTTCTTCTTAAATCTTTTATCTAGATCGTTAAGATCGAGGACCTTACGATGAAAATGTTGAAACATCACAGTTACCATGAACCTTAAACCCTAAAGCCATATATAAACAAATGCATGTGTTAATTAATCAATCAATAAACAAATGCATGTGTTAATTAATCAATCAATAAACAAATGCATGTGTAAATTAATCAATCAATAAACAAATGCATGTGTTAATTAATCAATCAATCAACAAGTGCCACGAGTGCTGCCGTATCCAGGTTATCCCTCAATACATCCATCAACCAATCAACCAATCAACCAATCAATCCCATTCATTCATCAATCAATTAACCAATCAACCAATCAACTAATCAGTCAACCAGCCAATCAACCATTCAATAAACCAATCAATTAACCAATCAATCCCCAAGTTAACCATCGATACATCCATCAACCAATCAACCAATCAATCCCATTCATTCAT